TGGTAGTGGTGGCAGTGGTGGTACTGGTGGAGGAAGCGGTGGTAGTGGTAGCAGTTGCGGTGGTAATAGTAGTAGTAGTAGTAGTAGTAGTAGTAGTAGTAGTAGCAGAAGTAGTAGTAGCAGAAGTAGTAGTCGTCAAGCCTGTGGGTGGGAGGGGTGTGAGGGAGTGGGGGATTGTGCGGGCCGGGTGGTTGTGGGGCGGGGTGGTGGTGGTGGTCAGCCCCCCGAGGCTTCTTGCTTGAACCCCCATCGAATCGAGAACTCGCAAATTTCGACACAACTATCTCCAACCGCAAAGTTGCCACAGCCTCGGCATCTGAGTGGTGATACATTGCGAAGATACAAGCATGATGCAATGCTTGAAGAGAGTTCCTTGACCTCAAGACAGCTATTTTGAGATGTCTTGAGCCAGCAGGTCCTGATACCGGCTTCCGCGAGATCACGGCTGAGCAGCTTGTCCTAAGACTTTGCGTGCCCACAGCCCCAGACATTCTGGCTCCTGCATGTGGCAGTCCCAATCCGTCAGGTGTGGACCTGTGCTCCTGGATATCTTCACAAAGGCTGTCCTGCAGCGAGCTGCATCGAGCCTTGCGACCTGATCGTTGCCGCGGAAACCTGGCACTCGTGTGATTTGCGAATATTTGTCTCTTCCTTTCGTGCTTCTGCAGGTTGTGCAGGACAAGCTCCAGCGAATACGATCCAAATCCAAGCAGTGGGCGGCAAAGCTTCCGACAGGCCGTTCGGGACTGGGCAGGTGGGCTTCGTTGCACCAGAACTACCGGCAACAGGCGCTGTGAGCTACAATGCAGTGCTCGAAGCTTGCAAAGACGGGCTGCCGGAGGCCAGCAGTGCTTTTCTGTTAATTCAGTCGCCTCCGGATTCACTGGATGTATTGCTGTGTCATTTGTGACCGCTAACAGCAGCCAGGTGCTCCGGCGAGACTGGGTTCTTTGGCATTCAGTCGGAAGTGATCACTATCCGAAGGAATGGACATGTGAACCTTGCGACATTTTGCGAGTGTCACTACCCAATAGACAGGATGTGCCGGCTCTGCCTGCAGAAGTGGCTCCCTCCTTGGATGAACATCGTACCGTGAAAGCACCCAGTTTCACGCTTCGCATGTCTGGAGACTCAGGCGAGTGAAAGGATCGCTCGTTTGCCGCCCAGCGATCTGGTTCTGCAAACAAGACCGTGCCTTCCCCGCTTCGAAAAGGAGCTCAGCGAAGGCAACCGAATGCGATGCCGTGCCTTTGAGTAAACTGCGCTTCCACCTGCTGAGTTTTGGCTTGTGCTGGTGACACTCCACTGGCAGATTTCGCCAGCTGCCCAGAAGAGCAGGGCATCGAATTCGTGACAGTGTTTGCATGCGTTGAATCGCTGACTTGAAGTCGAGGCTGTGAGGTCGCACGTTCTCGAGAACCTGGACAAGTACCCTACCGATGCCTGAGGTTTTTCTCGTCCAGCTTCTCGTGTCCCTGCATGAGGTCTCGATAGCTCGATAAGTGCTCTGCCAGGTACCAGTCGTGGGAGGCCATACAGCTTTGACTCTGAACCCACTCCCGCCACTCGCAGCGAGTCCTTGGCTCCACATCTGCTTGATGTGAGTCCTACAGAACACCCGGTTTCACCTTCATGTACCACGACTCGCCGCCATCCCTAAGTGCAGAAGCGGCGTCTTGCAGGCATCCATGAGAGCGAGTCAGCCGAAGGCCCGGACACTTTGACAGGTTTGCTTGGACCACCGGTTGACAGGGCATGTTTCTGCTTGCATTATTCCGTCATGTTCCGTGCTCAGTCATTGTTTTGGCTTGCTGCAGGACCTGGGTCGGAATGCCTCAAAGGGGTGCTAGCAGTCAGATGCAGCCGAAGAAACCTACAGAAAACGCTTCCTTATAGCAAGAAGGCTTAACACATAGCAAGGCGAGGAAGCCGTGTCTTTGCCCTTGTTTGGAAGACCATATTTCCGGCACACGCTTGGCTTGAGTTCTTGGCTTTGCTTTCTCCTCTTGTTCGGGCAATTTCCTCAAAACTGTGTTTCCGACATGTTCTATCATCTTCTCACGGCAAAGACGACGAAGGCTCTGCTCAGAACCGCAGTCACTATTTCGCTCCTTCAATCTCTGATGATACTGCAGCTTGTGCTTGGGTAGCTGGCAGCACCTCTTGTTGTGCAACGCAGGTGTGCGTGTAGGAACGAGCGTAAGCGGGCGACCGAGCAGCATCCCGGCTCGTCCGCAATTCGTTTTGAGTTCTTTGCGTCCTCATGGCTTCGTCGGGCGTCTCATCCTCTGTTGAACCGGCCAGCCTTGACATCGCGGAGTTCCCTCGCCGCGGCCTGGGAGCTGACCCCTTCAACTTGTCCGACATTGGGGTCCAAACAAAGATGCGCCTATTTATCGCCACCTTCGTCGATCGGCGTCCAGTCAGCTCGAGGCGGCCCTGCAGGCTCTGTCGGTCCTCGACTTCGCCCGGCTCGCCAACGCATGCCAACGCCCAGCAGTTGGGGGGGTTCCAGCCATGCTGCACTCCGCCAAGTTCATGCGTGAGGTTGAGGTCGCCGGTGCCCATGTCAGCGACATCACTGTCACAAGACGGCAACTGGTCGCTGCGGCGCGACTGCGGCGCGACCCCAGTCCTGTGCACGCGGCCACCGTTGTGGGCTCGCCTCTCTTACCCATCTCAGCGCAGTGCTCACTGCTGTCGGCTTGGTCGCCACATTTTGGGACCCACCAACGCAGAACACCCTGCCCGTGGTCGGACGTGATCGTCCAATTCAGCCATCGCCCCAGCATTGGTTGGCGATGACCCGGTCATGCAGGCGCGTCGGGTGCCCAGGCCGCATCAAGAACTTGAAGGTACACACGTGCGTGGTTTGGAGGGCCTGCAGTTGCGGCTGGCCTTGAAGCGCACGGAGGGAGACTCGGGCGTGGAGGCCCAGCCGTGGGTCGTCGTCTCACGTATGGGGCTGGTCGGTCCGTCGGCATCAACTATAGGTTTGAGTCCTCTGTTCGGCGGATCGACTATTCGTCAAACTGTGGGTCACGAAGGCATTGACGAGGACGCCTTCTTGGGGCGACCTCTCGGCGGACGCCATAGCAGCAAGTTCATGAAAGGCGGTGGTGTAGTTACGCAGAGGCCGCATTGAGTCCCGGAACGTTCCGTCAAATTCGGCCCCGTGGTCCAGGTCAACCAGCTGGCCGGATGAGCCTCTGCTCCGCTATCTTTGCTGCCTTGACAGTGGTTGGTTGCATCTTCCAGAGCGATGTGGGGATTGATGCCGTCGAGGACATTCGAGGACGCAGTGACGTACCTTTCCATGACGTGGCTGGGCATCTTAACGGTAGCCCAGGCTCAACAGCGCTGGTGAACCAGTGGCGATACGGAAGTACCCGACCTGTAAGGTGTGATCTGACAGTGGCACAGGCGATTTGTTTTGGACTAGCCGCCCTACTCAAAAAATCCGACCTGTCGGGCACGGAGATGGGTCAGCCAAGGGCCGAGTAGCAGGTCGTGACCGATGGCGTGCGCGTGCAGCCCATCTGCGTCCCCGCCAACTTCAATGGGCCTCGCCTTTGGTGGCTCGGTCGACGTCGACTGGGCCGAGGTGAAAGCTGACCCCGACCATGGAGCGCTGCAAACGACGCTGGACCAGATTTCGTCTAGCCTCCGTTCGCCCTTCGGCCAATGCGGCTTGGCCTTATCAGTCGGTGGTCCGGGCCGGGTGCTTATGCCATTCGCCGCCACGCCAGCAGAGGACGACTGTCCCAAACCCAGGTCGTCGAGGGGGCGTGCGCCCAAAAGCACCAAGGATCGCTGGGTCGCCGAAGCAAGCAGTTCGCCCCATGGCATTACCACTAGGGCGATGCTTCAGAATGCCAAATGCACCGGTCGGCGCAGAAGTGCCCCGGCTCGGGCACCGGGTTTCTGGGCGGTGTGTCCGGCCGGACCGAAAAGGGGCACCGCACCTTTTAGTAGGTTTTGGCTACCTAGTACCACGTCGTTAGCGGTGCCCTTGTTGTGTAACGCACGTGCGGGATCGTGCGCGTGTATTGTACGCGGGCGACCCAGCAACATCTCGGTTCGCCCGCATTTTCAGTTCCCACCCTGGCCACATAATTGTAATTATTAGTATGACTTCGGACTGAGACTATCGGCCGGCACCCGCCTGTCCGGACTGTCGCCGCAGCAGAGCGCACCCCGGCTCCGGCACTGGGTTGCTGGGCGGTGTGTCCGGCCGGCGCAGTTCGTGCGCTGCCACATCGATAGCGGTGCGCTGGTTCCAAAAGACTATGCAATATGGCTTTGATGACCTGATGTAGTGCTCTCCTGCTGTTTTTGCGCCCCAGATTGATTTGGGCTTTCCTTGTTTGTTCTCCTCACCCATTCGCCTGCAATGTTTCAGGAGCCCTCCAGTGGTGTGAAGCTACCTTTCGATGCAGCTACGACCAAGCAGGCCGGGCTTTATTGGCGAATGCTAGTGTTTCATCTAAGGAAGTTTGCGTCGTGGTGTGACAGCAGGTAACATTGCGCCGCGCCCTTGGTCAAGTATTCCCCATCGAAGTGGCGACGGCGGTTGCGGAGGCTAAGTTTGAGACGGAAT